TGCTCAGTGTTTTGGCTTTATGGGTCTTAATATTTGTAGTTACAAGTAGTAGTTGTAACTGGGCCTTTTAATTTGCAGCTGGCCCCTTCACATGTAAAATCCCAAGCTGATTTTTAAAATTGAAGTTGGTCCCTACATTAGACATATCCTTGCTGACCTGCACAAGATTCGAGATCTCAGAGCCCACATGGTCCTCTGTTACCTCTTCTGCTGGCCGCACTGCTACAGAGGGTAATGTGTTTGAACTGTTGGGTATTGGAGTTGGTTGGTTCTCCGCTATTATCGAGATTTCTAATCTCAAACCTCCCCAATCTATTCCAACCTTCACCGGAAGTTGCTTGCCGGAGTTCCTGATGTAAATTCGAGCCCAGAAAAAATGCTTTCTGCTCTTTGTATCTGCATCTATTCCAACATAGCCACCACACTGATCTCCAATTTGTTTAAAGATTTCGAATGTCCAAGCATGGATGGGGATCCCAAAAGTTTTCACCCATAAAACTTCCGGGCAGCTATCAACAGAAATAGTTCCATAATACGGCGTCCACCGTTGTAAATGTAGATGTCGACCGCTCCAGAACCTATTCCCTGTACTGATTCTAACAGCCTCCTGTCTCGATGGGTACTCGAACAGGAAACGATTGTGGTCTATGGGAGTAACTTTAAGTCCTGCACTGATTTTCCATCTGCCAAGGAACCAATTCTGAATGATTTCTGTGCTTGGGCTATTGTTGAATGGGTCGTTGAAAGTTCCAAACAGACATCTAGAGAGTGGGTGTTTAACTTATTCAACCTTTGTAGATGGGGGGATCGGAATGTCTGGCCAACTCTCAATCTTTGCATCTTTGAAGTAGCTCCTAAGTAATGGAGATGGTGGTCGTACAGGACCATTACTACTGTGGCTTCCTAAAAGTCGGAGGATTTTTTCAGCAATATCAACCCAACCACTATTATAATCTGCTTCCGGAATAATCACCGCTGATTTTTTGCTTCCTTGCCACACTTCTATTCTTACAAATCTGCCATGGATATTATAATTCTGATAGACTCTGTGAAGATATTGTTGTTGTTTCCTCTCCCATCTTCTGTAAAGATCTCCTCTCCCCTTGATGCTTGCTTCAAAGCGTCACATACCCATCGTAAATTATTCTCGTCGATACTAATTTTGCTAGTAAAACGACTGCTTCTTTCAATGAGTGAATACCACCTAATCTGAGCATCCCCAATGTTAATGAGTTCAAAGGATTTTTCCTCTGAAATGAAAAAGTATGTTCCCCCATAGAAAAATCCAATATTGCCTGAAGCAGGCCTTACTAGAAAATTTCAAAAGGATAGAGAAAGAAAGGCCACATTTTCCAAGTCAACTATGTTTTCATCATTTTCGCAGATTAACATTTGCTCCGCTAAGATAATCACATGGTTGAAAGGTTAGTTATACTGTTCTATTTCTTCTCCTTCTTGTGGGTGACTCTAATTATTTTGTTTCAGGGTATTTGTTGGTTTGTTGTTTGTGAAACTGAAAGAAGAGCTTGAAAAGAAACTAGGGTTTGGGCCGATAATCTGACAATTTTCCATCTTTGTTTGTATTTGAATGTTTTTTCATTTTTTAATTGGAGATTTCAAAATGGATGGGCCTCTAATTTTCTCGTATTTGAGCCACAATTCTAATATGCTTCTGATTTATTTCACTTTGTTTCTCTGTGTTTACATGGATAGAAGGGAAGATGTTTTCTTCAGCTCACTTCATCTTAATAATGTCTAAGGAATCATTTTGGTTGGCAAAAATAGAGCTATACAGTACTTAAGCCTATACTGGGAGAGACATTTATAAATCTCACTAATTATTAGAAAAGAAACATGTCTAATTTTTTTGATTATGTGGTCCTGAATGACCAGGTTTATCTCCCTACATTTCTCTGTAGGCCACTCTCCTCTTTATGCCTATCAATTTAACTTAAGTTTTACTAAATCTGACCATATCTTCAATATTNTATATATATATATATATATATATAAATTTTGTCCTCAAAACACCTAGAACCAGTCATTTTTTATTAGATTATAGTTTATAATGTTGAAAATTGATTTTAACTTAAGCGATCAAACCATTCTATGTAAATACAGGTGTGTCAACTAACAATAAGCACTCTTTCATGAGAGTTCTCTGATTAGGTCAGTCAGTACCAACTTTCGGTCAACTCTACGTCATTTAGTTGTTGTCTAATAGCTCATCTGAATAACGTGATGGCACTTGGTGTTTACTTGCATTGTCATCTTTGTTTTATTGAAAAGCTTGAATCTTTTAATTACGCCTATATTTGAAATTATAAGTTTATTGCAATGCCATTATTTAAATGGGACTCTTAATCATATCTTTACCTCATGAGTAAATCATCAGGGTAAGAAAACACCGGAGTAAATTTAGGCTTTTACATTAAAATCACAATTTCAAATAGGTCATATTTTAACAGCAATCTTTAAAAAACTTTAGCATATTTTTTTGTCAGACTACATAGTCTCATATATTTCTTTGTGTTATCAGTAGTAAAACTTCAACAGCACTGCTCAATGTTATCTAAGCCATCTTCTATTACCATGGATTATCAATATTCCGGTCTATTCTTACATTCTTCTTTGATTTGTTCTCCTTTAGCTGATACATTAAGACAACGTACGACTTTTGACTTTTGGTGCAGGTATTCTCTTATAATTTTGTTGTTCAAGGAAGATTATCTTGGTGATGCAGTTTGCTTCTCTGGCATCCAATTTCCCGCCTCCTCTTTTGTTTTCCTCTCCGTTTTTATGGAGATCTCTTGTTGTTATTAGGCACTTGAACGTCTTTAACATGTACAATCAAATAGTACATCTATCGATTAGATCATACACAAGGGATTACAAAGAAAAGAACACGTGAAGGAGTATGAGTGTATGTTTATTGTGCTACTGGTGTCAATATTATGGTTCAGCTAACGACAACCAATTAATTTCTTTCCCCATTTATAACTTCTGATATATGCTTGGAATTTTAGTTTCTAATATACTTTAGAAATTTGAGTGTAACTCTTTGTAAGGTACCAGGCTGCGCTTAGAAGGTGTTTTGTTGTGGCTTGCGATGGGCATACATAACATAGAGGTAAATTGGTTATGGTGCATGATGGCTAGAGCAGCTATATAGAAGATAGGCAAAGCACGTGCAACTATGGTCTATCACATATGGAAGGCCAAATGAATCTCTATGGTTGCAAAAAGTACCAAAACCANATTTTTTTCCCCATTTATAACTTCTGATATATGCTTGGAATTTTAGTTTCTAATATACTTTAGAAGTTTGAGTGTAACTCTTTGTAAGGTACCAGGTTGCGCTTAGAAGGTGTTTTGTTATGGCTTGGGATGGGCATACATAACATAGAGGTAAATTGGTTGTGGTGCATGATGGCTAGAGCAGCTATATGGAAGATAGGCAAAGCACGTGCAACTGTGGTCTATCACATATGGAAGGCCAAATGAAGCTCTATGGTTGCAAAAAGTACCAAAACCATAGAAGATAATGGAACTGATCAAGTTCAAGTGTAAATATGGATGCGTTGATTTTATAAAGAGAGGAAAACATAGCAATGGGACAAGCTGGATAGAAGTCTTGTACAAATAGGCAAAGTATAGTAGTATAGATTCAAAATGTATAGATGAATGAAGGGGAGGGGACATGCAGATTCATAGGATGGGATTGACTGGCTGGGTTCTGTTATGGAATTTTGATGACTATTTGATGGCCGTAAATGTATTTGTTTCGTGGTGACTAATAGAGTTGTTAGCGGAAATGTAAAAGAAAGAACACAAGATTTAACGTGGTTCGGATCAAAATAGTCTTACGTCCACCAGAGAACAGTTGCCTTTTTATTATTAACAAAGGAATGGGAGAGTTTNAGGGGAGAGTTCCCAATTACACTTAAGAGAATTTCTCTCTTAACTCTCTACTCACTACACTGTATTGTATTATTTTTGGGATGGTTTCTACAAATGAAGGAGTGCATCTATTTATAGAGGTAAAGACCTCCTCTTGATGTCTTGGATTACATCAAATGAGGAAGCTTCCTCCTAGCATCCACACCAACTCTTTCCACCAACTCTTCCAATTGGCATGCCATTGTTGACTAAACATAAACCAACACCTTCAATCTCCACCTTGGTTTGCGTTTCGAGCGTGCGTGTGAACAACTCTGGCCAAAACTTCTAAGCTTACTGGGCAACCCCGTTGTAAGAAACAAGAAGAATCAAACCATTGTTGAACATACCACCTCCACCTAACAACTGTTCTCTTCGGAGTTGCATCAGTTGATGCACACCCCCGCCAAGTCCTTGCAGTGTGCAAACTTAGCGAGTGGGACTATCTTGGTCAACATATCTGCAGCATTATCGTCTGTGATAACCTTCACGACCTTGATAGTTCCCTCTTCAACAACATCTCGAATAAAATGAAATCTGACATCAATGTGTTTAGTGCGCTCATGAAATCTCTGATTTTTCATTAGATGAATAGCACTCTGACTATCACATCTAAGAGTTGATTCCAGCTTAACCAAACTCAATTCTGCTACTAAACCTTTCAACCAGATAGCTTCCTTCACCGCCTCCACTGCTGCCATATATTCTGCTTCTGTCGTAGACAAAGCGACAATCAACTGTAGAGTCGACTTCTAACTAACGACACTGCCAACGAGGGTAAAGATGTATCCAATTGTGGACCTTCTTATGTCAAGATTTTCTGCATAGTCAGAATCTACATAACCGAGAATTGAAATACCTCCACCACTTTTTTGAAAGGTCAGACCAATACTAGAAGCTCCTTTGAGATATCTCAATATCCACTTGACAGCTTCCCAATGCCTCTTTCCTGGGCTGGACATGTATCTACTTACCACACTTACAGATTGAGCAATATCTGGACGTGTGCATACCATAGCATACATAATGCTACCAACTGCACTGGCATAAGGAATCTTTGACATATGCTCCACCTCATCCTCGGACTGAGGCATTTGTAACTCTGAAAGTTTAAAATGAGGAGCTAATGGTGTACTTACAGGCTTGCACGTATGCATATTGAATCTCTCGAGAACCCTTTCAATATACCTCTTCTGAAAAAGATGTACAACATTATCTTCTCTTGAAATCTCCATACCAAGGATTTTCTTTGCATCTCCTAAATCCTTCATGTCAAATTCCTTACTCAACAGTTTCTTCAAAGCATTTATCTCTGTAATGTTGTTAGCAGCAATAAGCATATCATCAACATACAACAGTAAATAAATCATTAAGTTATCAGACATCTTTTTGTGTTATACACAACTATCAAATACACTCCTTAAGAATTCATGTGTAGTCATGAATGCATTAAACCTCTTGTACCACTGTCTAGGGGATTGGTTCAAACCATACAAAGACTTCTTTAGTTGGCATACGTGATCTTCTTTTCCCTCAGCTAGGAAACCTTCAGGCTGATCCATATAGATTGTCTCTTTTAGATCACCGTGTGAGAAAGCAGTTTTGACATCAAACTGTTGAAGCTCCAAGTCAAATTGGGCAACCAATGCTAGTAGCACACGAATTGAGCTATGTTTCACGAGTGGAGAGAAAATCTCATTGTAGTCAATTCCCTCCTTCTGACTGAAACATTTTGCAACCAATCTCGCTTTGAACCTAGCATCTTCCACTT